TGTAACGGTCATTTGTTTACAATTTGTTTTGTTTAAGCACTTTGAATTGCCGTGTGCTGAAAGGTGCTATAAATAAACTTGCCTAACGTACTTTCTAAAGTCACTGTAGGGACACTTTACCTTTTTTGTATGTTTACTATGTAACCCTGTTGCATGTATACTGTAACTCAATACTGTGTCTATCTCAAGTGAATAAAGTTTGATCCAAAAGAAACCAATCGTGTCTTATGTTAATGGTTACGTATTCAATGTGTGGCTTAATGAGGAATTCATGTTGATAGGGCGTACAACGAATGTATGTCAATGGTCTGCAAAGGCTGAAATCCCAAAGTGTTTTCTTCCAGAACATGGTGAGATCACCAAGTAACACTTGCGCTAGGGCTGCTCGATTATGGCAAAAATCATAATCTCGATTATTTGGGTCAATAATAGAAATCACGATTATTAAAAACGATTATCCATTTACTTTGAAAACTTCCATTTATTGAAAACAAAATGTGAACAGTGTGTTTTTAACAGTTGATTACCCTGAACTTTAAGTATAATTCAACTGAAAAACCAATAAAAATGTTTTTTTTTTAATTAAATAAATAATCGTTTTATTTCGATTATGTTGTTTTCATAATCGTTGCCAGCCAAAATCGTAATTGCGATTAAAACACGATTAATTGAGCAGCCCTAACTTGCGCTCTTACTGGCTAGCGCTCCAACACATTGTACGTGATAGGCTAAGGGGCGGGCCATCTCTAAGCGGTTGACCAATCACAAAAGAGCTAGCCAGTTAACCAATCAGAGCAGACTGGGCTCTGCAGACAGAGGGTGAAAAGAGGTTCTGCAGCACAGGCAGTATGAGAAAAATAAAGAGCTTTTTGAACATTCAAACTTGTAATCATGGAAACATATCGAAGCACAAAATATGACTCTAAAAATAGGCATAATTATGTCCTTTTTAATTCCTTCTCTTTGTCTTTCTCGCCACATGCTACTTCTTTTTGCTGCAGCACAGGCAGTATGTCACATTAGGGGCACAACATACACATATAAACCTGGAAGTGAACATATCAGAGCCCCCTTTGAAGAGGGTGGCAGCAGCTCATTTTTGATTGATCCGGCCATTATTGTTTGATTCTTTAGAGTGATTGGTTGGTCTATGAAATGTCACAAAACAAACCTGAAATGTCTCCTCAAAAGAGACATTAAATGAGACAAAGAGAAGCCCTATGAGAAGGTGGAACATGAGGATGTCGAGCGTCTGTACTATTTTGAAATTAATATTCAATTATCAAAAGAAGATACCGATAATGTCTCCGTCAGTCAGATTAATTCCCTAATCCTTTCAGCTCTAATGGGCTGTTCAATCACTTCTCCCAGAGTGTTATTTACTCAGCATTAATGTACAGGGGGAAGTGACGCAGAAAGACTCTGACAATGGAAACCACTGGGTTTATCTCTAGGAATCCTTTGTTTTTTAAATAAAAGCACTCACTCATAATGCTTGTGCGCTGCATTTCTGACGCTGTCTCCCTCAGACGGAGCACAGAAAACCAAGATGGTGAATCCACAGATGGAAGAAACACCTGCTCTCCTCGTGAAGAAGCGACAACACACCGAAGCAAACACGTCTACAGGGGTATTGATATTGTATTGATTACAAATACCTGCACGACTGGTTAGTATAGCCATATATAACCAGGGTTGGGAGGGTTACATTACAATTACTAGTTACATGCCAAAGGTGTAATCAACAACATTTAGTGCACGAGAAGGGTAAGACAACAGAACAATGTGACCTTAAGAAGAAACCAAGATATTTAGTCGCAGATATGTACCTGCCTTTCATTCAGCATATTCAGGCAGTAGCCTACACACCAACAATGAACACATGAGCACATGCAGTTTAAAGAAGCAGAAATCAAATCTGAGCTGACAGTAAATGTTAGATTAATACACACACTTAAATAAAACTAAGAACATCCATAACATTCACCTGTTTGTAACTTACAAATGATGTATCGCTTGTATATAGACTCTTATGGCACTACTTCTATTCTATTTTATTGTATTTACTTGCACTATTTTATCTGTTTTATTGTGTTGCACTGTTGGGGAGCCTGGGACCTCAGATTGTCATCGACATAACTACACTGTATGTACGAATGACAATAAAAGCCTTGAATCCTTGAATCTTGAAAACAACATATTGTCCTGCTGCAGCTCAAACTAAAGAACAATCTGTTTGGATGCTCAAAGAATCCTCAGCAGAGGAATCCATTACTGCTCATCCAGACAGGGGGTATCCACCCGACACGAGGAAAGGGCTTCACATGTCAGGGTCTGCCACTTCTGTCGCATCCATCAGTCCCTGCTTCCTGTCTCTCCTCCGCATCAGTCCCTGCTTCCTGTCTCCTTCCCATCAGTCCTTGCTTCCTGTCTCTCCTTCCCATCAGTCCCTGCTTCCTATCTCTCCTCCCCATCAGTCCCTGCTTCCTGTCTCTCTCCTCCCCATCAGTCCTTGCTTCCTGTCTCTCATTCCCATCAGTCCCTGCTTCCTGTCTCTCCTCCCCATCAGTCCCTGCTTCCCATCTCTCCTTCCCATCAGTCCTCGCTTCCTGTCTCTCTCCTCCCCATCAGTCCCTGCTTCCTGTCTCTCTCCTCCCCATCAGTCCCTGCTTCCCATCTCTCCTTCCCATCAGTCCCTGCTTCCCGTCTCTCCTTCCCATCAGTCCCTGCTTCCTGTCTCTCTCCTCCCCATCAGTCCTTGCTTCCTGTCTCTCTCCTCCCCATCAGTCTCTGCTTCCCGTCTCTCCTTCCCATCAGTCCCTGCTTCCTGTCTCTCTCCTCCCAATCAGTCCCTGCTTCTTGTCTCTCTCCTCCCCATCAGTCCCTGCTTCCCATCTCTCCTTCCCATCAGTCCCTGCTTCCCGTCTCTCCTTCCCATCAGTCCCTGCTTCCTGTCTCTCTCCTCCCCATCAGTCCTTGCTTCCTGTCTCTCTCCTCCCCATCAGTCTCTGCTTCCCGTCTCTCCTTCCCATCAGTCCCTGCTTCCTGTCTCTCCTTCCCATCAGTCCCTGCTTCCTGTCTCTCCTTCCCATCAGTCCCTGCTTCCCGTCTCTCCTTCCCATCAGTCCCTGCTTCCTGTCTCTCCTTCCCATAAGTCCCTGCTTCCTGTCTCTCTTCCCATCAGTCCCTGCATGTGAGGACCTCCCCTCGCCCCAGAATATGAGTGTATTCAATCTCCCAAACTGAATTGCTCATCCTCTTTGGAATCAGACATGATAAAGACTTGCCGGTCAGAGCGACTGATTCATCCACTTGAGAGGAGCTCAAATGAAGCCCTTTCTCCTTAATTGGAAACATGCACTCTTTATTCTATCTAAATACATCATGAGCTCTGCTGCCTGATTTCATTAACAAACTGGTTGTGAACAAAAACAAATTAAAAGCTAACTGTAATACAATACATTTTTTAAGTAACCCATATTTCTGTAGTAGAGTTGGGATCACCATAAGCAACGACAGGTTGTGTGACCTCTGCTTTTGCCTCTGCATTCAAGGCACTCTGCACAGTGTGTGATGCTCACAGCTCGGACTCAATGACCCCGAATACACAGCTGCTCTGAACCATCCCTGCTCTCCTCTGTCTGAACCACGAGGGCTTCAAACTGAGCAGATCCAGATCACAAATCAGATCCTGTTTATCTGTCAGCCAAGAACCAAAGCTATAGTTTATGTCAGCTGCAAGGTCAAGCAAGCTGAGTGCTTTTTATTTCATCATGTATTTCTGTTTCAGGCAAAAAAATGCTATTCCTAAATTCACATTTGTCTGTAGGGATTTGTTATTGTGTTATACATGCACCCAACACTTTTAAAATGTCACATTATTTCATGTTTGGAAGACATCAATACACAAGTCCAGATCTTTTACTAAATACAATTTCAATCCAAAATAACATCCAGCTAGGTGAAGCAGCATTTTCCCATTCTACTCATTACAAGAGGCAGGTAGATAAATATAGTTTTAGTTTTATTGTTATCATAATTCTGCTGTGTTTCTAAATGTAAACTCGAATTGGGATGGTTTAGATTAGAAGGATCTCCCAGTGTGACTGGTTTTGAGTGGCTGTCACGCCCGGAAAAAAAAGATGGGGAGGGGGGGGGACAGTATTGACTAACCTTAATTTTCATTCACAAACCCTCGACCCCTTGGTCTCGTATCCCTCAGGATCTATATACTGCGGCAGTTTATCGGGTTTCATCTTTTTTTTTTAAACACACATGTGGAGATCTCGGCTCCCCTCATCCAGACGCCTCCCCTCTCCCGCACCCCAAACACGCGCCAACACATCCTCCTCACCTGGCTGCGCACAAACACACACATCACCAGCGTGTACCACACACACACTGTACTACACCGCCCATTCACACACACATAACGCATCCCACAACCATAGCATTTCTCTTGTTATTATTCGTAAACATGCAGATGTTTTCCATCATGGCCTCGCAGAGTGAAGCTCCCATCACTGACACTGATGTATTTTCCCAACATCACCGTGCATGCTCCACCAGCATCACCAGTCAGCTGATGGAGGCTTGTTTTTGGGTGAAATATTTATAAGGTCTTGTCACGACTTAAGTTAAAACGCGGGCTATTTGGCGGGTTGCATTGCGCGGAGGTCCTGACGATTTACATCTCCCCGTCTCTTTTGTGTTTAGGTCTAAAAAGACAGGCCTTATATTCACCGTGATGGGCTGTGAGGCTTCAAGGTTGAATAATTCGGGTTGTGGACACGCAGGGGCTCGCTGTCAACCTTGTATTTATTGAGATTTTACGAGTAAAAACATCACCAGGCCCTCACATCTCCTCAGAAATACAGCAGCATATTCCCTCCCGCTAATTAAGCAGCGTTTCGACCATGACAGCTGGATATATAGGCTAGATGATGCAGGCGACTGATTTATAGAGCAAAACATAATATTATGGAAGGTGTGATGCCTACCTTGGTGTGTGTGGAGCCTATAGCTGGCGCAGAGGCTATGAGATATCCAGTGGCCCAGGCTCGTAAAATCAGACAACAACAACACCACGCCGGTTGTTGATGACACAGCTGTCTTGGTAGACGGGAGGGGGGGGGGACAATCTTTTCCCAGATGTGTCAATTGACGAGTAAATGAAAAATCAGTTATTCAGACGCATTTTACCGGACTGACGCCTTTCCTTGACGCGAAAGGTCTTCCATGTGTCTGATAAACAGCACTGTCCTACCGAGGCTCGGTGTACCCTGCTCGGTGTGAGCTCTGTGGGAAAACCATGATGCCGTTCAATGCGACGTTACAAAAGCTTCCCCTGCAAACACTCAGCAGGTGAAACGCCATCCTTGTGTGCTTGGAAAAAACACAAGCTCCAGCGTGACCTCCGCAAAATAAACAGTTGAGGCTTAAACAGAAGGAAAAAAAGGCGTCAAAACAAAAAAATGCGCAGATATGAGCGCGCGCTGATGGATCAGACGCTGGGCATCCTCACTGTTTGCATCCATATTAATATTCATACAGTACTTCCTGAGAGCAGACCAGTGGTTGTTTATAGAAGGAGGGGAAAAAAGCATCCGAGGGGTCTCTGAGTCCAACTGCAACGAGGGGCTGTTATCTTGTGGCTGTTATCAGCAGAGCCAAATGAAATCCCCCTTCGCGATTCATATTAGCAGCAGACTCATAACATGTCCGGATGGATTCTTAATAAAGTGTTGTTCAACTAAAAACCTAGACCTTATTTCCAGTATGCACAAAAACATTACAAAGTGTCATTTATGAGAATATTACAGAATCTGTGGATGTCATGGGATATAAAATACTAAAGTATAAAATCAGCTCGCCATAAACCCGTAATCCCATGGGTGTCACAGAAAAGTAGCTGCCAGATGAATATTCGTGCGACATTTTGATTGGACTGTAATTTAAATACCAATTAAATTCAATAAATAAACTAAGACCTGACTGAGAGAGCCTTCACTTATATTGGCTTTATAATGCAGTTTATTTTTATGAATAGGAGTATGGGAAATCTACATATATAGGCATAGAAATGTGGTGTTTTTGGGGAGGTGTCACATGACCAACTAGCCAACACATGGTCTGTGAGGCAGACACGCCCCTAAAGTCCATGGGCTGTTAGAGGAAAGTTAAACTTGAGTTTAAGCAAGAGATTAAAGGTGCTTCCTTGTGTAAAAATTCAATCCCTTTATCATGTAAGGGATAAAGGGATTCACATTTATTCTTAATTAAAGTGAATTTATTTTTATTCCAGCCAGTCATTTGTGTGTAGGTGTGAGACATTCCAAGTGTTCCAAAAGTGAGCACTCCAAGAATGGACAACAGCTTGCCAGGGTAAAATAAAACATTGTCAACATATTATTTTGTGCCACAAGAAGCAGAATATTTTAACAGTACAGTAGTTTGAATATATTTTTTGTTTACCTTTATCAGACCTCTCAGGCACCCACAACCAGCGTCTGATCGGGTAAGACCAATTAAAAATGTAATTATACCATGTAGGTTTGAGTTTGTGAACATGAAATCAATAAATACCTTTGTGTGCTTATGACACTGTCATTAGATCAACTGCACTTATTTCCTGGGTAAAAATAGGATGGAGAACCAACCCCATTCCAGGAAGAGGTCCAGTCTGCCCGGGATTAGAACAACCTTTATAGGTAAACAGCAGAAAGCTTATCTTCCGGCGCAGACTGAAAACTCATCTCTTTCGACTCCACTTCGAGCAATACAATTACTAACAAAGCACTTATATACTAACAAAGGACTTATATACTAACAAAGGACTTATATACTAACAAAGGACTTTTATACTAACAAAGGACTGGTTTATCTAAAGCCAGTTGAGTAGCACTTGAAATGTTTTGGCTCTATGAAACCTGATGTACTTATATGATTCTGTTTTCTTCAAGTTTGTATCTTCTTGGTCGGATGCACTTATTGTAAGTAGCTTTGGATAAAAGCGTCAGCTAAATGTAATGTAAACGATGTTGACAGTTGCATCGTGACACAGTTGTTTGCTGTGTATCTATATTTTACATTTGTTTGTTTGTATAGCCTCCAATCACAGTGGGTAACATTGCCAGGAAGCAGAACAATTATACTTTCATACATTTCCAAATGACACCCACAACATCTGACATCTCAGTGAAGACGATACAAAAAACACCCACAAATATTTTTCAAAGGTCAGATATTGCTTCTTGCATCCATTTCAAATGTTTACAAGGATTGTGCAGGAGTATGACAACAGTGCTGTTGTCAGTTTAGAACCCAATGTATTGAGAAAACAGTTAGAGGATCGACATCCTTTTGTAAATATGACTGTCATGCATATATTATGTATTTGAAAGTCATGATTCAACTGTCTTCTCACTGCAGCAACTACACAAATGTGTATGCACTTATCATTATTGATAGCCAGTCTGAGCCAGAAGACAAAATGGAGCAAAGGTATTAATTGTTACTATTACCACTTAATTGTTCTATCTATACTGTAAATCTTATCATAGCTTCATCATTTAATATTACAATACATCACTTTGTCTTTCCCAGCACAGAATACCTGACTGCGGCACACATTGTTGCAAAACTCTCTGCAAAAATAACAAATACATCTTGCAGCCGGTTCAATATGAATAGAGCCAGTGTGTGGGATGGAGCAATCCGCGGCTTCAAAGGCGCCTCGTTCGATCCCTCTCATGAGACGTCAGTTAAGTTCACTGATGATGAGGGACACACTGAGGATGGAGGGGACACTGGTGGTCCGTGAGTTCCTGACCCTCCTTATGGAATGTCTGAGAATGAAGAAAACATCACGTCAGCAACTGTTTGTGCCCCATGGCGGTGTGACTTTCCCAGCCGCTCACTGTCTCAAAATCTGATTCTGAATGTATATTGTTCTCTATAAAGATAGAACTAATACACAATTATGAATGTATAATATAAGCTGTTTTGTGTATTTAATCATGCGTTGGTCTACAATTTAATGATGGCTTCTACATATCTCACATAAACAGACAATGAAAAAATGTGTCCTTCATGCTGATAACTAACTCGTGTATGCATCTGCCAATTAGTATTCTAAACAGAGTAGTGTCTTGAATCCTTATTTCTTGCATTTGAAACAGATACAATAGAAAAAGTGAACTTACTGTTGTGTTCAACTTCTGCCACAAACTGTACATGTTTGCCACAGGAGCCACAGAGCACTTGAACTGTCCCCAGATGTTGGCCACAGAAAGGACACAACATGGCGGCCCGAAAAGTATACATTGATGTAGTGAATCCATTTAATCAAGTCAATCAAAAACACATAGTCTAAATAGTGGTTAGCTAAATAAATAGAAAGATACATCATGTTTACCGTTGAATCTGTGTTTTGTCTCTCTCTCCTTGAATGTCTTCTCTATATTTGTTCTTGAGCATGTCTAATGCAATCCTGTCATTACTTTGTCCCTCTTCACATTTGATCACTTCTCCACCGACCATAGTTACATAGTATTGCTAAAGCTCTGTATAGTTGCAACATATACACAAATACATACATATAAACAAACTGCTAAGAATGTCTCTCTCTTCAAATGTTCCCGCGGTACTCACTATGGCCCGTGTTGTTTACCTTAACAATGTTCTTCGCTCACTTTATCTCCTCTTCACGTGAAGCTCTCCTCTCCTCAGCTGGTGTAGTAGTTACTGTGTGGACGCTAACGCTAGCTGCGTAAATATGACGCTCTTTGTATAAAAACAAAACAAAACTTACCTTCTTATATATCGACTTTCTCCACTTCAAACAACTTGGTTTCTTCCGGCTTTAATTTCCGTCTCGTTCGTTCTCTCTATGTCTGGGCAGACATTCATCTGTTCCACGTAGCGCGCCCCCTAGAGGCCTGGAGCACTGTGTGTTTTGGGGTTTGTATCTGTTTTTGTATTTGCAGCGTTTTTCTTTTGCGGTTATTTTCGGGGTTTGTGTGTTGTATTTAGTTTGCATAATTTCTGTGAATGCAGCGTTTTGTTGTTGTATTTGTTTTCAGGATTTGTTTGTTTTTCATTACATTATTTTCAGCTGCTTCCTGCTTATGTATGTTGGCCGTTCTTCCGCGTTTGAACCTGCCGGCCACCGTAGTGTTTTTATCAGCCGGTTTACATGATCTGGGCAAAGTGCATCAACTAAAGAAGAAGAAGAAGAAGAAGGCAAAGTGCATCCTGCATGTTGTGTATTTTCACAAACGGCTGATCTGCATCCATTCAAATTAACTCTGGAATAGACTCTAATAAAAGGTATTTTTTTACATTTCACGCTCAGCAGTTTGGTCTTTAACCTGTTAAGTCCTGAGCCTGTTTGTCAGGTCTCAGGCTCGAACATGACATGCCCAAAACGAATGACAATAACTTCACTTCTAAAAGGGGTCAATTAATAATCTTTTTTCTCAAAGCAATGATAAACCTGTTGGATGTAGAAAAGTCAGAATCAATATAGATTTTATTTAAATGTTAAAGTAAATTCAGATTGAACATTGTAAAACATTTTAAATTACAGTGTCCGTCCAAAAACAACAACATTACTTATAGTGAAAACCAGGGTTCGAGTTATAAACTGAGCTCTATGGGGGTCTTTACAACTAACGGGGACACACACACACACACACACACACACACACACACACACACACACACACACACACACACACACACACACACCATCTCGGCTCGCGCAGCAGGCCCACAGGCATAGATTGCGCAATAATGTATTGGGCACCTTGGAGGTGCAGCGCAGGCATATTTTCATTGAAGAGATGCGTAGTTCTTTTGGAAAACATGTTTTTCTTTTAGCCTATTTACCTCGTTAACGTAAATAATACTCATTACATTAACACATGCATTATTTGTGATTAAAATAATGGTTGTTGGTAATGTATTAGCGACCCCCACACATATGTATGATTTCATTGCGTCCGTGGGAGCTCAGACCCCATTGGCTCCTTTCAGCAGAGTTTTATGCGTTTTAATGCAATTGAACACAACTTTTGATCAGAAAACAGCAACGGTAAGATTTATTTTCCGTTTTGGTCCCGTAAAGCTACGTTGTGTGATGTCTGGGTTTGGTGACCCTGTCGCGAGTTCTGATCGCTCAGTGATGATACTTATACCCCTAGAATCTGTGGAATATCAGCTTGCTAGCTGATATCTTGTTTGTGCAGATCAGATAAGTAATAACTTATTTCTACCGTGAGTTCTGTGCTAAGTGTGTTAGCATTTTGTTCAGGGCTCATTTAGACGCTTCTTGTGAGACTTGTGTTTTGTTTCGGTAAAAATGGTTCGTATCATCAGTTGGCTGAGTTCCTTCCCGTTAGGTGGGTATGACACATTAATAGGTTGTTAAATGTTAAGAAGCCCTCAGACGCTGTTTCTTGCAAGATGTTGCGGGGTCGCCGGGTGTTGCTTTATGTTGTCCTAGTATCATTTAGAGTTGGAGAGAGTCCAGGTGATTTGAAGCCTTCCACAAGTTTGGCTTATATGTGATCAAATTTAAACTGTCTAGTTTAGCCTGTCAACTTGTTCCTGAGTAAGTTATTTGTGCCTGCATTGTGATTTTTTAAGCGTATGACCTCTAGGCCTACCTTAAAGAAGATTAAAAGTGCTCATTACTGAAGCAATCTGATCTCTATCATAAAAAAGATCATAAATGTCTCCGATAAAGCCATCTTTGTAACATCTAAAGGCGTAAAGTCCATGATGTATAGACCCATGACCTTAACTGAATGAAAGCACAGTTTTAAATGTCTTTAACAAATTGATGGTATGGCCTCCTGGTTGCAGGGATGACGAAAGGAAAGACTAAGTGGAAGGTGTTTTTGGAGGTTGTAAGTGTTCTGCAAGCGGTATCAACCTTTCTCTTCTTAGGTAAGATCCCACCACACAAACACTTTGTATCAAATGACACTGGAAAGTTGGTCAAATGTATTAGATCATGTTAATTCACGAGGGTCTCACTGCATTTGTAAAGTACACTCATATCAATATTCTAATGACTGTATATAGACTATTCTGCACTGTTTCTATTATATTCTATTTACTTTTACTATCTTATCTGTTGTATTGTGTTGCACTGTTGGAGGAGCATAACCACACTGTAGCTATGCACACATGACAATACAAGCCTTGAAACTTGAAACCTCTGTTTTCACACTGCTAATCTATGAATGTCTTGTACTTCCAACATGTGGACGATGCCTCTCCAGGAGTGGCCTGCACCCTCTTGATGTTTTACCTCATGTTCACCTCTCTGTGGCCGATCCCCACGCTGTACTTCGTCTGGCAGGTGGTGGACTGGCACACCCCTGAGAGAGGTAAAGGAAATAAAACCATTCAATACCCACGGACATGAAAGTTTAGTTTATTTGTTTATAGTGTCGTGGACAGTCCCCATTGATCAACTGTCACAAAGAACAGTAAATGGGGCAGCTTTAGCCGACATTGCTAATTTCCAGCTGTTGTCCCCGGCCAGACGATAATAGACACCTTTTTTAAATCACAATACATCAACGGCATTAGTTATAAAGAAAGGATGAAAGACAAGTAGATAGAGGCGAAAGGATAAAAGAGAACAATGAAATACAAACAACACACGTTACTACATACTATAGCACATCACATCACATGAAAGAAACGAGGGGCAACATCCATGTTCATCATGTCCATCCATCTTCGTTAGCTGTTCCTCAATATCATACTTATAACAAGAACATTTTATAATAAAGGAGTGACAAGCCAGAAATAATAATAAGACTAACATAATATTGCAGTTTAATTGTATTAATAATAAATATATTGTTTACAGTTAGTGTGTAGTATTGAAATGACACACTCTGTCCACCAGGGGGCAGGAAAACAACATTTGTGCGGAACTGGAGGGTCTGGGAGCACCTCAGGGACTTTTTCCCAATCAAAGTAAGTTTATATTTCACCCCTCTGTCAGATTTTCTGTTCCCATCTGATTTGATTCCAATATGTTGGACCTGACGGTGAATCCATGTGTCCCACCAGTAGCATTACTATTTCCAAACAAAAGCATCCTTGACCTTAAAGTCAATATTGGAATTGTCTGCTTTGATTCTTTACATTACATTACATTTCACAAGAGCAATTAACCTAAGAAGAGTTGGGTTTTAAGACGGGATTTAAAAGCAGACAGTGTGGGAGCCTGTCTGATGAGCAAGGGCAGGTCGTTCCACAGTTTAGGGGCGGCAGCAGAGAAAGCACGGTCCCCTCTGTGCTTAGACTTTGTTTTTGGCACCCTCAGGAGCAACTGATCAGCTGACCTGCGAGTGGGCATGTAGCTGTGTAACAGCTCAGAGAGGTAGGGCGGGGCCAGGCCATTGAGGGCTTTAAAAGTAAATAAAAGAGTTTAAAAATGAATCCTCAAATGAACGGGCAGCCAGTGGAGTGAAGATAAAATGGGGGAAATGTGCTCGTATTTGCGTGTGCCAGTTAGTAGCCGTGCTGCTGCATTTTGCACCATCTGCAGGCGAGCAAGGGAGGATGCACTTATCCCCATATATAGTGCATTACAATAATCCAAGTAGGAGGTGATGAAGGCATGGATTACCGTTTCAAAGAGGTCACTATTTAAAAAAGGCTTTATTTTGGCTAGCTGCCTGAGGTGGAAGAAGCTGTTTTTAACAACTGCCTTGATCTGGCTGTCAAGCTTGAGTTCAGGGTCCATCTTTATCCCAATATTTGTGATGGTAGGCCTGGTGGAGTGGCCCAGGGATCCTAGGTCTATAGGAGTGGTCCGAGGGGCACCAAAAACCATCACTTCAGTTTTGTCATCATTTAATTTTAAAAAGTTGCATGACATCCAGGATTGAATGTCTTCAAGGCAGTTTAACAGCGGTTTAATTGAATATGAGTCGTTCTTTTTAAGTGGCACATATATTTGGCAATCGTCTGCATAGCAATGGAAAGCGATACCGTGCTTCCTAAGAATGGACCCAAGAGGGAGCAAATACAGGGAGAACAACAGGGGGCCTAACACTGAGCCCTGTGGAACCCCACAAAGGAGAGGCGCAGACGAGGACTCAGAGTCCCCAAGGCTGACGCAGAAAGTCCTACCAGTCAGATACGACCTAACCCATTCAAGGAATGGGAATGGAATATATAATAGGACACAAATAAAACAGATCAAATAGTGCAAGAGAATGTTGTGAGATGTGCAAGAAAATACAAATGCAGGTTGTATTTGTGTTTGGTTTTAAAGGTCCCCTATTATACTATTTTTCATCAATATATTATAGGTCTCAGATATATCCAAAACATGTCTCTGAAGTGTTTGGCTTGAAACACCAAACAGATAATTGCAGCATCCCATATTCCCCTCTGTTTCAGCCCTGTTTCAAAAGTGCTGATTCTCTGTCTGTTACTTTAGATGAAAATAAGGAGCCACTCCCCACGCCCCTCTGAGAGATATTTGGTTTAAAAAGAACACAAGAGGCGCTTTCACACAAAGTACTTTGCCGTACTTAGTTCATCAGAACTCTTTAGTTCTGATGAACTAAGTACAGATCACGTTCACACCGGAATAAGTCCCTGAGGGAGGATTAGGAAAATGAGCCACTGAGGTCACTTCTTCTTCTTCTGCTTTGGGTTTATTGGCAGGCCGCAAACAACTTCACGGCGTATACTGCCACCCGAAGTCCCCGACCGGAAGTCCCCGGAGTTGGGGACTGGCTTCAGTAGAAGCTGCTGGGACTCCCAGCAGCTTCTACTGAAGCCTTCCGAGTAAATCGCCAGAACGCCGACACCTCCTCATCTCCACCGCTCCCATGTTTTCTTTTGTGTTGCCATAAGTTAGTCTCGCTCCATTGGTGCGCCGGGCTAATGCTAATAATGCTAATGCGAGGAAAATAAAATGGCGGCTTCACAAAACTTTTTGGGAGTTTTACGGGGCGTGGTTTGTAATCCGCCCAGCCAATCAGAAATGGGAACCTTTTTCTCCCATGAAAGTCCCTGCTCTCTAGCAGGGACTGAAAAGGGGGTGAAAAGGCATGAACTAGGTTCTAGTCCCGGATTTGTTTGGTGTGAACGCAAATTTTCTGAACTATATCGGAACTATAGTGGGAAAAGTACTCCGGTGTGAGAGCGCCTCTAGGAGGAGATTCAGGTGATAAGGTGGGGGGTTATGACATCATAAAGTGGCCAAAATCTGATCAGCTCATTTTCAGACAGGTTTTTATATAAATGGATCAGGACAAAAAGAGAGAATCTTTTTTCCTGAAACTTCCAGAATCTCGTTACACAGACATGAAAAAGTGGATTTTGCATAATAGGTGACCTTTAAAGTCTCTGTTCATCCTATTTTTTTCTTGCTCAGTTGGTGAAGACAGCCGAGCTGAATCCAAACAAGAACTACGTTGTTGGTATTCACCCGCACGGCATCATGGGTTTCGGGGCGTTCACCTGCTTCAGCACCGAGAGCTGCGGCTTCACGGAGCTGTTTCCTGGGCTGAGATACAACCTGTTGGTGCTGGTCGGCCTTTTTAGGCTTCCTGTCTTCAGGGAATATGCCATGTTTCTAGGTATTTATGTTCAACTATAGGAGGTTTTTGAGACTGCTGTGCCAGTGGCGGTTCTAGACCAATTGTACTGGGGGGGGGGGGGGGGGCAGGCACAATAAAAGCAGGTTAAAAGACAAAGATAGTAAAGTAATTTTGTAAAATAAACATAAAATACAGTAATTAGCATTTGTTTTTGTAAAGGTATTTGTTTTGGTCACTTTAAGTTACATTCCTTTGTTTCAGTAGTTTTTTTCATTTAGAGTATTTGTTTTAGTAACTTTAAGTTACAATTTAATTAAAAAACTTAAACAGTATTTGCTTTTATAAGGTAATGTACAGTTTAATCTCCACTTTACATCCGGGTCTCTGATTTGACTTAGTTCCAATAAATCGTAATATTGTAACCTTTTTGTTGGAGGGGGGCCACAGGGGGCGTCCCTGGTCAGTGTTACGGGGGCACTGGCCCCTGTTGGCCCCCCTCCTAGAACCGCCCCGGGACTGCACACAGAAAGGAAGAACATCCATAGTTATTACTGTCTTACTTTGTGTGATCAGGTCTTCTTCCAGTCAGCAAAAAGAGCCTCACGCACCTCCTCACCAACAAAGGGAAGGGGAATGCAGTGGTGATCGTGATCGGAGGCGCTGCGGAGTCGCTGGCCTCGGCTCCTGGAGTCAACATCGTGGTGATGAGGAAGAGGAAGGGCTTCGTCAGGGTGGCCCTGGAGTTTGGGTGAGAGAAAACACACATTAAATACCAGCAGTGGTGGTTCTGAAACAATTTACAACACGGCCAACGACTGGAACTAGGTAGACAGCTTCCTAACTTAAAATGGCGGCAGCACTTATCAAGGTTTTCTGTTACTGTCCAAGTCTGTTCTCATTTTCACTCATTAACCAACATGAAGAGACAATACCGTCTTCCTGTCAGTGTTTACTTCCTGTCAGCCTTCTTCTATTTATATATCTGACGTCCAGCACACTGTCTTTAACGTCTTTCCTCGTCTTGCACCGTTTTTCTTTTATTTCCTGGGAACACTTTAGCCATAGACTCTTCTTTTGGAGGGGGGTCAAAGCTCAGTGTGTATTGGCCCCCTCTACAACCGCCCATGGATACTCGTTATCAGTATCATTTCATCTCACAGTTTGACAGTAATGTGACCTCTGATGATCTTCCACAGGGCTGATCTGGTGCCAGCTTACGCATTTGGGGAGAACGAGCTCTTTAAGCAGGTGGTTTTCTCAGAAGGCAGCCTTGGGCGGAGGTTACAGGACCTGTTTAAAAAGATCATGGGTTTCGCCCCGTGTGTATTCGTTGGAGAGCACATGGGTATCCTGCCCTACAGGATTCCCATCACTACTGTTGGTGAGTGTTTCATCTTTCTGTTCATTAACATAGTGATAGTTGTTTTTATTCTAACGCTCTGGCTTCTTTCAGTGGGAAGTCCAATCTCAGTGCCGAAGCACATCAAAGCCAGCGAGGAGGAGGTGGACCACTTTCATAAGCTTTACATGGAGGCCCTCTCCAAGTTATTCCATGAACACAAGGTCAGCTGTGGACTCTCTGCAAACCACGAGCTTCGGATCATCTAGAAAATTAACTTTAAATTGAAATGTAATTGCTGTTTTTATTTGCTGCTTTTGTGTGAAACCGATACTCTTAAACAACATTGATCCTGCAGGTGTTTTTGTTCATCCTGTGAATGTATGACTGTAGCTTTTAAAGATATCATGTGAATATGTGCCTTTGATTATTCAAATGTGAAGTCCATTAAGGACTGCAGATTAAAATGACCTCAAATCTGGCATAATTCATCTCTTCTCTTTTCTGAGATTAATGTATTTGTATTCATGGTCCGTCCTTGTTGAAATAAATACATAATATCTGATTAAGCTTGTTCAGAAAGTTGTGTAAACATTGATGTCTTCATGAGACATATTTGAAAAACACGTACATTTCTAATGTTAGGACACAATATCAGGTCTTATACCAACAATCAATTAAAAGAAAACATGTTTAAATGCTTGCTAAAAGTGAACATCCTGGTATATTTCATGTATTTTGTAGATGACACTGTGCTGCAGTTCGTACATGTGATTTATGCGGCTTTCACACCAGCGCTTTTCCCTTTCTAGCTCCGAGCTAGAGCTTTTCTGGTTCAGCTCCGGTTTCCCTTTTCTGCTCCCGCTCTGTTCACACCGCCCAGCACCCGACTGGTGCTGCCGCTGCTGCGTCATGACGTCACCGTTTACATCACTGATTTGCTCTCCAACGGCGTTACGGCGCTCACAACAACAACAACAACAACAGCAACAACAACGGGGAACTGCGTCGGGTCGATGATCGTGTTGCTTTTAATCACACGAAGCCAGAATAAATTGAATAATGACTTCTCCAACCTTATACTTTGCTCCAGAGTGCCGTGGTTCATTGTTTATTAATGTGTTTCTGAGGCATTTACCGACCGCTGCAGTGTTGGCTGCTCTTCCACAGGAGTTTATTCTCCCGTTAGCTCCCGGTTAGCTCACACTGCAGCGGCCACTCTAAAGTATTCACTGTCCGACTCACACAAGCAGCTGATACATATCCCCAGTTCCTCATAGCCTAAGTGAATGTGTCCGGAGCTAAGAGGCGGCGCCGCTGCGGTGTGAACAGGAAAAACCGGCACTTTTCAGGCTCCAGCTCCGAGCCGGAGCTGAAAACGCGTTGGTGTGAAAGGGGCATTACACATAGTTCAATCAGGACCCACTGCAGAATGAGCACTTCATAAATGGCCATATTCAATACTGAATATTTCTCGCACCACTGCAAGGCCTTTGCAGTTTTCTATTTAGCAGCTGTGTGAAGAGAAAGGCCAGCATGCATGCATGTAGTTCAAAGGTTCTCCCAGCAGAGCACGATCATCTGCTTCACTTTTGCCCCTTTCACACCAATGGTTCCAGGTCCGGTTCGGAGCTAGAGCCTGATAAGCACCGGTTTCTCCTGTTCACACCGCAGCGGAGCCGGCACTTTTCCCCGAAAACCGGTTCTTACCAAGCTCCAAAAAATGGTCGGTCAAGAAGCAAGAACCGCATATGTCACACTTACGACGGAGGCAGGGGCGGGATCAACCTGAGCAATAACAATTTATGGCGAGTACGGCAAATAAAAGTTGTAACAAGCAGTAGCGCTGAGCAAAGTGACTACAACGCAACCACACACTTTTTAAAGTCAGGCAACACTAACCAGGCTTAGTGTGATTCTGTTTATTTGTACCTTACTCTGACCATCCGTTCGCTGTCATTGATCATTGTGGAGAACAGGCAGACGTTTTGTTTTGTATTATAGCAGCTATCGGATGGAATCAATAGCTACATGTGCAGCACAGGTTGCCACGTCCGACTATCACAAGTAGAATCATAATGAAAACTACGCCGGTAAAATGTGCCTGTAGAAAACGGCTTTCTGCGTATGCCGTTTGGACTTAAGAATGCAGCTCAGTCCTTTCAGCGGCTGATGGATTCGGCGCTCAGAGACATGCCATTCATCTTCGTTTATTTAGATGACATCCTCGTCGCCAGCTCCTCCTCTGAGGAGCACCAGGCACATCTCCGGGACCTTTTTACGAGGCTCAACCAACACGGCCTGATTATCAACCCGGCGAAGTGTCAGCTCGGGTTGTCCTCCATCCACTTCCTCGGACATCTCATCAACAAAGATGGAGCCCCCTTGTCCTCGCCTGCGACCCCGCCCTCCTCGGCCCCTGTGGTCCTTACGTCCTTCCTCCCGGCGTGAGGATTTTGACTATGGGTGAATTCTGGGGGGGCTTGTGTGGTGGGTTTACATAATTCACCCACGGAACTATGTGTGGGGGTATTGCTCCGCACGGACCTTTGAGTTAACAGGACTTCCTGTTTTAGCTGGTTAGTTTTCCCGGGCTTGTGTTTGTTTACATACTGTTTTCATGTGGAATAAACTACTAGCTTTGTCCTTTGACACACCGCCTCCGACTCACGTCTCTCGGCACTACAAGGGAATTGTTGTTCAACTAAAAACCGAGACTATATTACCAGTATGCACAAAAACAAAACAAAGTGTCATTTATGAGAATATTACAGAATCTTTGTAGGATGTCATGGAAGATAAAATACTATAAAGTATAAAATCAGCTCGCCATAAACCCGTAATCCCATGGGTGTCACAGAAAAGTAGGCTAAACTGCCAGATGAATATTGGTGTGACATTTTGATTGGACTGTAACTTAAATACCAATTAAATTCAATAAATAAACTAAGACCTGACTGAGAGAGTCTTCACTTATATTGGCCTTATAATGCAGTTTCTTTTTATGAATAGGAGTATGGGAAATATACATGGGCATAGAAATGTGGTGTTTTTTAGCCAACACATGGTCTGTGTGAGGCAGACACGCCCCCTAAAATCCATGGGCTGTTTGAGTACAGTTAAACTTAAATTTAAGCAAGAGATTAAAGGTGCTTCCTCGTGTAAACAATCAATCCCTTTATCATGTAAGGTTTATCAGTAACATCGTTGGACTTGTAGCTCCAATAAATACGGGAGACATCAGTGTGTACGGGTCAAAGTATGTCTGCCAGGGGTCATCACCTTGGACACACCTATCAGTGATTGATTAAACTGTACTCACAAGTAATTTGAACTGAATTCCTACAATGGAAGACACACTCAGAGCATTTATTTAAAGAGGATATTATTAGGCTCATTTTCAGGTTCATATCAGTATTTAGTGTCTCTGTGACATGTCTCCATGCTTTAATGTTCAAAAAGCTCTTTATTTATCTCATACTGCCTGTATGCACCTCTTTTCACCCTCCGTCTGAAACCAGAGACCAGTCTGCAGTCTGATTGGTTAGCTGACCACCTCTGTTGTGATTGGTCAACCGCTTAGAGATGTCCCACCCCTTAGCCTATCACTAAATGTGTGATACGAGTGTGTCCTTTAAGTGTCCCAGTAATAGCCCTATGAGTGAGCATGCACACAACCATTGAGATTGTGAAATCTTACAAATACCTGGGTGTTCATCTGAACAATAAACTGGACTGGACTGATAATTCTGCTGCTCTGTACAAGAAGGGACAGAGCAGACTCTTTCTGCTGAGGAGACTGAGGTCTTTCGGGATGGAGGGGGCACTCCTTCAGACTTTTTACGACTCTGTTGTGGCATCAGCCATTTTCTATTTTGCTGTCCTCCCTGCTGGACAATATGTCCCACCCCCTCCAGGACAGTCACTGTGCAGCTCCTTCAGCGACAGGCTGCTGCACCCCTGCTGTCTCACGGAGAGATACCACAGGTCCTTCCTTCCTGCAGCGGTCAGACTGTACAACCAGCACAGCCCCTAGTAGACCCTCCCTCCCCTACACACACCACAACACAGACTATACAACCCCTTGCTGCTAAATACCAATCAACTATGTGCTATATGTGCAATATATGCCGTTAATAACTGTAATTTATACCTGGCTGCTAAATCCTTAGAATCGTTGCAAGGTGTGTTTTTTGCATTTTGTAAATTGTGTAACTTGCTGCTGTTAAATACCATCAAACTATGTGCAATATGTGCTATATGTGCAATATACATTATTATATACATATGCCATTAATAACTGTATACGCATCTCTGCTTGTCGAGCGGACATCTCTCAGTGGATGTCTGTTCACCACCTCAAGCTCAACCTTGACAAGACTGAACTGCTTTTCCTTCCGGGAAAAGATTGTCCCACTCTTGACCTAACAATCAACATCGGCACCTCTATTGTTTCCCCGACTCAGACTGCAAGGAATCTGGGTGTGACCCTAGATAACAACCTGTCCTTCACTGCAAACATCGCTGCTACAACCCGTTGCTGCAGATACACGCTTTACAACATCAGGAAGATACGTCCCCAGCTGACACAGAAAGCGACGCAGGTTCTGGTCCAGGCTCTCGTCATCTCACGCCTAGACTACTGCAACTCCCTCCTGGCTGGTCTACCTGCAAGTGCCATCCGACATCTGCAGCTCATCCAGAATGCAGCGGCTCGTCTGGTCTTCAACCTTCCTACATTCTCCCACACCACTCCGCTCCTCTGCTCCCTCCACTGGCTTCCGGTAACTGCTAGAATCCACTTCAAGACAATGGTACTTGCTTACCATGCTGCAAATGGATCTGTTCCTTCCTACATCCAGGACATGGTTAAACCGTACACCCCAGCACGTGCACTCCGCTCTGCATCAGCCAAACGGCTCGCTGCACCCGCACTGCGAGGGGGACCCAAGTTCCCATCAGCAAAAACACGTGGGTTTGCTGTCCTGGCTCCAAGATGGTGGAATGAGCTCCCCATTGACATCAGGACAGCAGAAAGCTTACACACCTTCCGGCGCAGACTGAAAACTCATCTCTTTCGACTCCACTTCGAGCGATAGAACTATTAACAAAGCACTTATATACTAATAAAGGACTGGATTATCTAAAGCCAGTTGAGTAGCACTTGAAATGTTTTAGCTCAATGAAACCTGATGTGCTTATATGATTCTGTTTTCTTCAAGTTTGTATTTTGAAAAGTATTTTTTTTAACTTTTATTTTTTTATTATATTTGTTATTATATCATAACTTAGTACTTTTTTTAACATATGTAACATTAGCCCTTGTGTTATGTTCACATTTCGCACCCTTTGGTAATGTTCGGGTCAAATTGACCGGGGACATATTTCAGGGTTAAAAAAAAATACAGAACTAAATTCAACATGCACAATTCCTTATATATATTGTCTTCAACTCATTCCCCAACAATATAAATGAAATATATGATTAGTTTTTGAAAATACTCTTTGCTAGATCAAATTTAACAATGGAAGTGTCCATCGTTTTTTGTGATAAAAATATAATTT